AATGTTTTGCCCAACAGGATAGTCTAATAATTCATCCTCATTTTCCCAGTAAAAGCTGGAAAGACAACTGTAAATCTACACATTTCTCCATCATTCTTTGTCTTTCCCAAGATTAAGGTTTCAAATTCCTGTTGCAGTATTATTATTCCTATTGTTTGCTTAATTTAATTGCCTAAGTGATGCCAAAGGTCTATTAGATTATACAAAAGTCTAACATCTGCATCATGAATGGTTTCCATTTCAGAACTTAATCCAGGTATTTGGTCATAAAGGCATGGACTACTTCTGTTTTTTGAAATATGAATGCAAGTAAGTATTTTTAAAAGGCCAAAAACCAATGGAAGATGATAACATCCAAGTTTTTGAATGAAAACAACTACAGGGGAAATATCCTTCTAAATGTGTACTGTTAGTACAGTCCCTCCATGTATCTTTACACTTGTTCTGTTTGATCATTCAAATCACTATCCTAGGCAGAAAGAAGCTCCTTTAGATTGTCCAAGTATTACTTTCCTTCCACTCTCAAGGAAAGCAGTTTCAACAGCTTAAAAAGAAAGAGAATCTATAGCAACAACTTTATTTCCAATTATGAACACAATTTTCAAAAAAGACCTTCAGAAAGCTACATGAGTAATCCCTGCCTCTGACTCAGGGGCTAAACAGACCGGCAGTAAGTGCCGGCTTGGGGGCGGTATGGGGGCATGACCTTCAGATGACTCACACCTAAACAATGCCCCTAAGTTGGCATCATGCTGCCCACCCGACCAGACAGCAGGCAGCATTGCGGTGCTCCTGTAGTGCAGCATTTAGATGGTGCACACTGTGGGAGTGGAGAAAAGCCACTGCCACTGTGAAAAGGGCGCCTTTTTTCCACCCCACCCCCCAAGGAGTGGCATTTTGCTCCTTCTTTTTGGGTCAGAAAAACACCAAATTGGGGCCACAGTGTGTAGTTGCCACAGTCCCGATCCAGCGCTCAAAGGGGTGGTGGCAGCCCGCTCTGTTGAGGCAATCTGTTTCATCCCTCAGTTATCCTTTTTCCACCCTTTGCTTGGAGGCATGAGGAAAAGGGCAGAGGGAGTAATTTTAAGTATTGTAACCTTGGGCTGTACATCTATCCAAAAAGGACACTCAAACACCATTGTATGTTTTGGGGAATTATGAACTAGCACATAGGTAGTAATGGCTAGTGGCTGGGTTACTTAACCTTGGGACAATATCTCTGTGTATACCAAGTACAGAGACACTAAGGATTCCAGAGGGAGGTTTCCAAACAAGTAATGAGTTTTATTTTTAAAAGGGGAAATCAACAATCTTACACAACACACAACCACACACTCTCACAAGGACTAAGGAAAATCAAAGGTGTTGGATGGGAATAGAATAAAGCTTACAAGGAGATACTGCACCTGAATGGATCCACTTGCTGAGAGTCCTGGAAGGGATGGAGGACTCTGTAGTTTCCACAGCACATGGGGGTTGGGCAAGCTGCAGAGGAGCAGAATCAAGCAAACTGACAACATGCTACCAGCTGCTGGATTAAGCTCATGAAACATTTTAGGGAAACATTTTAGGGAATTTCAACTCTGGGGCAAAATTCAGGGTATAGAAAAAGCCAAATGGGAGTGCTCCCTTTGACATGTGTTTGGATTACTTTGAACATAGTTTTCTGAGGAGGTAACACTAGGCCAGGGGTAGGCAACCTTTCCCCTTTAAGGGCTGAGGGACTTCAGTTCCCAGAATCCCAGGAGCTATTAGCCAACATGGGATTATTGGCCAACATGGCTGAGGCTTCTGGGAGCTGATGTCCCTCGGCCCTTAAAGGGGAAAGGTTGCCTACCCCTGCACTAGGCTGTGAAGATGTGTGATGAATGAGCATTTCCGAAGCAAGAAGGATTAGTGTGCATAATGTACAAGAAGGATTAGATAGGTAGAGTTGTTTAGTCCTTGGCACCATCCATTGTCCCAAAGCTATGGCTTTTTCTCACCTCCTCGAGGATGTCTGGAAAACAGGGCCCTAATGCAACTCCTGTTGCTAGCCTACATGTGATGTAGGAATCAATGTAATGGCGTCCACTTCAGAGTCATAGAAGGGCCATTTAACCAGCATTTTATTCCAATCTGATATCAAAAGAGAAGAGGTCTGATTGGGCTAACAGTATCCTTCCCTTTGCTAGAAAAATATTTGAATAATCTGAAGCAAACGAATCCTTCCATCTGTAGTATCTCAAGTGACAGAATAAAGTTGTCAACTTTCCTTATATGTGTATGAATGCAACATCTTATACTTCTGTGTCTTTGAACAGATCTAGTTGACCTACCATGACTGCTGAACCACATAAATTCCACACTGCTAATAAAAGCAATCATAAGATTGTGATATTAAGTCCATCCATAAGACAACACTAAACCTTGTCCAGGTGCTGTTTTGGGAACTGGAATGCATTTTCAGAATTCCAAAGATTATAGAGTGAAATGTAGCCCATTGAGGAAATAAAATTTATTCAGCCTCCCTGTGGACAATTGCTTTTCCAAGATATGACCTTTCCCAAATCTGTCCTCCATGAACAATTAATCATGGTCTGTAGCTCTCAGAGAGAACAGGAAACATACATCTTCAATTTTTGTAACCTCTGCTTTTATGGGTATCTCTTTACATTTTACAGTGAGTATCTATATTTTAATAACTTATGTCTTGCATAGTGGAAGCAACCAAGGTGTATCACATTGTACAGTCATCTGGGAAAACTTAGTTTTCATTCTCAATCGGTCTTGAAATGTTTTTGCCATAAACAATACCTTGAAGCATATTAATTACAGCTAATGCCATATGTAGTTAATATCAAGTTAGAGCATTGGGATACATACCTTTCAGTAAAATTTTCACTGGAATGCATAAACATCTCTGAGGTCATTCACACATTTTTTTAAGCACAGGTAAGTAATGAGTGAGATGTGAATAATCTCACTCACACATTCTGTGTTTGTTATTTACACTATGGAACAACATCTATGTGCACATCTGTGAGTTCAGTTGTTCGTATGTGTCAGCACTTGAATAAAGATGGAGTAAATGATGCAAATGTATTTGAAGCATATTCAAGGCATGCAGAGTTTTATCCCAATTATATTTGCATCAGTTATTCACACAGCTGAGAATCCGAATCTTTTAGAAAAATTAGGAAAACTAAGGTGGTGGTGGGGAATCTAACATTGATTATCCTGGTTAAATGGTTTTTTTTTTGACAGCCACCCCCAACTTAATTGGATGCATTCAAAATGCATGAGAAAAACAAAGATTCAACTCAGATTCTACCTGGGTTATTTTCACCATCAGAATAACCCCTCTGAGTACAATCTGCACCAGAGGTCAGTATTAACTTACTTAATGTATGTCCTGTCTTTCTGTAAGAAATGGGAGGGCAGGTATTTAAGGAAGCTAATAGTAAAATCTTAGTAAGACTCCATCCTTAAAAGTCATTTCTGCATTTATCTGGAACCGGAAATCTAAAACTGTATCACATTACAGAGTCTCCTGAAAAATTAATGGAACTTTTATTTTTGATCATGTTTTCCTTTAAATGACAAGGCTACAGTCCAAGTTTCACAGTTTGAAAAAAAAGATGAAGATGATATGCTACAGAGCACAAAGTATTTAACCACAAAGAAGAACTGCAGTGGATAATGAAAGAGAAGGAGTTACTCTTGGCAATGGGACCTAGGCAACAATCTCTTTCACAAAGCGTGAGAAAATTTTTTGTGCAGTCAGCTTTCAGTGGAATAAATAATTTTCTTTCTTGACTTTATGCAATGTTTGCCACATTTGCTCATGTTCATCAGTTTTTTGTGCATGGAACAGAAGGCTGTGCTGGAAAAACGTAGCCAGATAGTACTTCCCATGGATATCCAACTGCATTGGGCTACATCTGGCAACCACTAAATATTGGCTTAATATATAACAATATAGCTAGATACAGTCTTAAAAATTATTTTCTCATAAAAAGCACATATCACAATGATTACCCGTTTTCCTAAAACAAAACCCAAGAAGATAGAAAAACTAATTATAAATCATCTTTAACCCAAAAGTAAAATAAAATTATAAACTACTGTTAAAATAGCCACTCTCTACACCAGTCAGAAGAAGCTGGAAGAAATATTAGGCATGAACACAATAATCTATTTGTCCTGTACTTCCAATAAAATTTCAGGTTCCAGTAGCCCACACTTAAGCTCATACAGAAGTTGTGATGTTCCTTGTTGTGGCTCAAATGCTGGGTCTACAGCAGGGGTCGGCAAGTTTTTCTTACTTGGGGCTGGTCTACTAGTCCCAAGGTCTTCCGCAGGCCAAGGGTGGGGTGAGGAAATGGTGCTGCGCACACTCACTCACGCATGCACAATACTTCTGGTGTACTGCGCATGCGTGAGCAAGTTGCGGCCACCATTTTGTTTTCCAAAATGGCAGCTGCGACTCGTTTGCGCATGCACAGTACTCGGCGCATCCAGCCCCTGGGCCTTAGGTTGCCGACCCCTGGTCTACAGTATGTTCACATATAGATCTTCAGAAACTAAAAATCTTTGCCCTAGTTTTTTCTGTTTTTCTTTTGCTAAAGTCAATAGATTAAAGTTTGGGCGAACACTATGGCAAATGCCTAATCATACCCACCCAATGTCTCACTCATTTGATAGTCAGTGTTTATGGACTCCTACCCCTCTTTTCCCCAAACCACTTTAGTCTTCTGGTAAATGGCCTGCAAACCCTATTTTTTATAGCAATTACCAATGAACTGAAGAAGACAATGTAGGCTAAGCTGCTTTAGGTTTAACACAACTGTCATGAGTAGCATCCAAAATCACTGTTGTTATTGTTGTTGTTGTGTGCCTTCAAGTTGTTTCCAACTTATGGCAACCCTAAGGTGAACCTATAACAGGATTTTCTTGGCAAGATTTGTTCAGAGTGGGTTTGCCTTTGCCTTTCTCTGAGGCTGAGACTTGCCCAAGGATACCCAAGCAGGGATTTGAACCCTGATCTCCAGAGTCATAGTCCAATGCTCAAACCACTATACCATACTGGGCAATTTTTAATAAAATGAGGGTATCTAACCCCAAATATTGAAAAAGACCCAGAATTTTTCAAATAAATGTTGAGGATATCATTCTAAGGAGATCTCCTTTTTTCACATGTTGTGGACTAGTTACCAGTCTAAGATTTAAAGGTTAATACAAAAAATTATAAAATTAGATTTTGTAAGCAAAATGTTTCTGTTTGGCATATGGATAAAGAATTGGGTAGTAAATATGAAACTTTTTATATATAACAACAGCAAGAATATTGTTGTTCAAACTTGCAAATGGACTGAAGCACTGATGATGGAAGAGTGAATTGTTAAATTTGCTGAGTAAGGGGGGTTGCAGACTGTGAAAAATAGTGTGAATTCAGTCCTCTTTTAGGGTTAGGGTTAGTGCTAGGGAATCATGGGAATTGTTATTTTTCTGAGACATTGAACCTTCTTTGTCAGAGAACTCTAGTGCCACAATAAAATTCAGTTCCCATGATTCCCTAACCTTAACCCTAACCCTAAAAGTGGACTGAATTCACACTATTTTTGACAGTCTGCAACCCCCCTTAGCCCAAATGGCCAAATTAACATGGATTATAAGGACTCAACAAACTGAAGCTTTTGTGAAAAATTGGAAACTGGTTATAGATTTTTTTTAGCAAAAAGAAATCTAATGATGTAATAATCTGTAGCTATAATTATTGGTATTAGTATTAGTAAGATTATTTAGTGGATCTGTAATGGTAGAATAATATTTTTTATTTCCTCCCTTTTCAATTCCCCCCCCCCCCAATTAGGATGGGTGTGTGTGTCAGAGTCCTATTTTATATTAGTTATATGCCTTCCCTCCCTGTTCTTTTTCTCCTTTTTTTTCTCTACTCTTCTGATTCTTTGATTTTATATTAGTTTGATTGTAAATTAGATTATCTGTGCTAAAAAATATTTTAAAAACTCTACAGGGCTGATATTTTAAATTATTGGTTTTAGGAGGAGAATGTTATAGACCTCTGCTATATATACAAGCGTCACCAGTATATCACTAAATGCATTGGCTAGCTTCAGCCAGCTTTCCTTGATAAAGTGTAAAGTATTATTTATCCAATTTTAAAATTATCCAAGGAATAGCAAGGATTTTCAACAAATTAGCTTTCTATGCAAACTCACAATTGAACAGGTGTCACAATGCCTATTAAAAATAATGATGACTAATGTAGTTTAGCCTGTTAATCACGTGACTGAATTACATACCTGATTTTTTTTTTTTATTTTGCAGAGTTTTAAAACCAGTCCACACATCCTAAGATCTAATGTAATCTATTGTTATACACTGTCAGAGCATAATGGGAAATGATCAAACAGCAGGGACGTCAAGTGAACCCTTTCCATCTGTGGAGATTTGGTCCCCCTCCCACACACACACACTGATGGGGAAAAATGCAGCAGCTCAAGCTGGTGATGAGTGCATGTCTTCATCAGTGAGCATGTAGGTGTGTGCTATCATTGGCTTATATGGCATGCAGCAATCTGCAGGAGCACCAATCTGTAGATGGCTGTAATTCCTCACTGATCCTCTTCTCAACAAAAACAAGAAGGAATTTTAACTATTTTCTTTCCACTATGAGAAATTTTCTGAAAACCACATAGTTTTTGAAGCTTATTCATGATTCTATGCAAACTTTGCACATGGATGTTTTGCTGTTACCCTCAATGAAATCTTCCTAATTTTTAAAGGGTGCCTGTCTTTTCTTATGACCCTGAACTGACTCTGGACTATAGCTGCCATTATTGTCGAAGTGCAGAAGCATGTAGACACCAACATAAACACTTCAAATAGATGGGTTTGGGAGTTGCTAATGAAGGGACATTAACACCTCTAGAATCAGGAAGATAGATAATTTACAAGTAGAGCTGCCAGATAAGGCTAATTTACAACTCCACTCTCACCCCGGACACTGCCAGACCAACTGATCCTTTACAGTGTAAATTTGGCTTCTCTGATGTAGGACAAACCCCTTTGCCCTCAGGCCAGTTTTGACTTATAAACGATCTCTGAAATATATTGTCAGTTGGGCTAGGTAGAATGCATGGGGACACTGTCACTATGAATTCTGACCAGTTCCAATATGTCTGTTCCCCACTGTTCACCAGAACAGTTGTATCCTATGCCATACACACCCAATTGGACCTGGAGCCAAGTCTCATCTTGTGTAAGTATCACCGTTAGTTCAGCCTCCAACTATTCCAAGCTAACTCCTGATTTCCTTAGTCCTTGTATGTGTGTGTGAGTGAAAGTTGTTTGCTGTTTGAATTCCCAATTTAATAAAAGCTACAATTCATTTAGAGACTTCTGCCTTAGCGAAATTCCTTAAATTTACTTTCCCTTGCTATACATATGGGAAACAATCCCAAAGGGCTATTGTAGCCAGCCCATTGATTAATTAGCTAATTAAAATTCCTCTAGAAGATCCTTGGCTACATTGTACAGAAAATAGAATTTTCTACTCAGGAAATGATATGCAGCATTTTCTTCAGAGAAATATTGTTTCCTACACATAAAATGTTTTTTTTTTGTGTGCAAATGATGTTTTTAGCACAAAAGAACCATGTTCAAATTTTGCACAGAAAATATTTCTGCATAAAATTTTTAACTTCTGTGGAGAAAATACTTTTTTTCTGAGTAAACCTGCCATGTGCAAATTTTGCACAGAATAAATAATAATAATAATAATAATAATAATAATAATAATAAATTTTATTTTTATCCCGCCCCTCTGCTTGGCAACCGGGGCAGCATACAACAAGTTAAAACAGTCAACAAGTTAAAACAATCCTTCATCCCAATCCCTAGCCCAGACTGAGAAGATTCTTATCAGTTCTTCTCGGTTTCTCAACATTTGAAAAACATGCTTTTTAACTAGTTTGCTAATATCTTTGAATATTATTTCCATTCATATTACAAAGGGATCCATGTCATTTTTGTTACATAAGTGCACAGCGCAGTGTCTTTCCGCTGCAGTCACCCCACTTAAGCTAGCTGTATGCATCTATGTTATGTATGAGTATGTACACATTCAGATTACAGGCCTATATTAAACCAACATGAAATTTAAATTTTGGTGTGTTTTGATGCCTTGAATACTTTATGTTCCAAAGTCAGGGACAAGGCTGAATTTTTGTGTATGTCAAAACCAACAGTAGAAGTCTTTATTCAAATGGAGTTAGTGGCTCACTTTGATTCTCCATCTATCATATGAATGCCAACTGAACTTCAGTTTATTTTTATGTGTGCCAACATTTATTTCATTTTTTTTCTTTTCTGCTTTTTAAAAATGCAGTCCTGTTGAGAGTTGTAGTGTGATGCATGTTTCCTGCACACAGAATGTTATCATTTGAAGTTTAGCAGTTGGGTAGTGGAGGAAATGCCCCATGTAAAAATGGAGTGAGAAAAAAAACAGTGGCCGTCTCTCCCAAATTCCCTCACTATTCCCCTTTCTCAGAGCTATCCTGTCCTGTCCCATCTCAAAAGTAATTTGTTGCCCTGAGGTGTTCTAGAGGAGCTTCCCATATTGCCTTCACAGCAGTAGGATCTGACTAGCTATCAAGTCAACTTTTGTACACAGACTGCAGGGGATACCATCATTTTCCCCAGCCAACAAACTGTCTTAGGAAACTACTGCATCATGATATAAAGTGTCTTACCTGAGCCAGCTCAAAATTATAAACAGGCAGCATCCTGATATTATCAGACACATTTAGCCACCAAAATCACCACCCAGGTGCAATCTGGCTCCATCGTCACTTAAAGGGGCGCTCCTTGTACCTCTTTTCAAAGCTGGGAGTTTTCCAGCTTGAAAAAATGGCTGCTGAAGTGCCCTTCTGAGTAGCAATGGAGCCGGGCTGCACCTGGATGGTGATTTTGGTGGCTAAATTCATCTAATAATATCAGGATGCCACCTGCTCCTAATTTTAAGCCGGCTCAGGTAAGACACTTTATATCATGATGTGATAATCTTCTTTGATTGGCCCCATTGTCTACAATTCTACAAGATCACATCCTTGCAAATAAAAAGGTACATTATGCAATTCATTAACAGAACCAGTACCAAGGCAAACTGGAAATATTCAAATAACTTTGTCACTATTTCATTTAATTCTGAGTGAAATAATAATTTCATGCCCAGGAAAACAATAAAGGAGAACTATACAACAATAATTGTTTTTGCTATATTGTCAAGTTGGCTTCAACTTATGGTGATCTTTTGACAACCCTATTTGAGTCTTGCAAACTCATGGCCATGGATTCCATGAGTGATTCAATCCACGTATTACTTGGTCTTCCTGTTTTCCTACTGAGACTCTACAAATGAAAAATTTTAGATGCAGATGTAATGTGAATGTGTTCCCTCCTACACAAATAATGGATCTAATGAAAATTTACCCTCTGTCAATGTTGTGATTACCATAAACATAACATAACCATTGCTTGCCTTTCTGTCTACTTATAAATGAATGATTTTTAAAAAGTGCCACAGAGTTAAAAAGTGTGGAAAAAATAAGCCTTTTGAAATTTTGTATTGCATTTCCAGTACATTTCTACAGGTGGAGCTGCTGCAAAACGTATAGACTACTTGAACTCCTTTACTGGGGGGGGGGGACCCTAAGAAATGTGTGCTTGTGTACTAAATTTTCATATATGCAATGTTAAAAGCAAGTCTTTTATTTTTTTTTCCCAAAGGGATTAAAGATATGTAGCATCTTTAGGGCAATTAATCATCCCTTTCTCTTAAGCTAAGTGCCAGCTCCTTTCATAGGGGCTAACACGTCTAATTTACCAGCAATGTTCTGCTTAGCTCTCCCTCCTCCACCCTCCTTCTATAATCTAATCTATGAGTAGTTAAGAGACAGACAGCAAGCTGTTTTGTGCTAGTGAATAAAAGCTACTTTGGCAAGGGAAATCTAGTAAACTAGTATTATCTTCAGTAAAGAAAAGTTATTTTTGAAAGGACAGAACAGCAA